CTGTTTGTTTCAGCCTCTTAATGGTTCAGATGTCTGAATGGTTCAGCACTTAATGGTTCAGACTGTTTGTTTCAGCCTCTTAATGGTTCAGATGTCTGAATGGTTAAGAGATTTGCCTCTGAATGGTTAAGTATTATACAGAGTCTGAATGGTTAAGACCTCTTATCTGAATTGCTCAGACATTTGCCTCTGAATAGTTAAGCAATATACTAGCTCTTAATGGTTGAGACCTCTTACTGGTTCAGCACTTACCTATTCAGAAGTTGCCAAACAGCCCCTAAGTATTGCATCTCTCGCAAATGAACATATATTTGACAGATGTAAAACTAAAATATATAAAAAGATCAAAACGAATATTCTGTTACTTTAAAATGAGTAATCGTTGGATGTACCTAGAGTTATGTACACCTAGCAATATGGTATACACACTCTAAAATGCCGAAATCCCGTAGGTTAGAAAGATATATATATATATATATATATATATATATATATATATATATATATATATATATATATATATGGAGTATATGCGTATCATACCTTCTGCCTCAATTTCGATTTAATTTTTCTTGGTCAAAGTTTATAATTAAATTTTGGTCTCAAATACTGGAAAAATACATTGTGTTTGAAATATATATGGTTTTGAAATATTTTTACATTTGAGACTTTAAAAAGACAATTCAATGTACGTGTAGAAGTGATTGACGCATCAAAAATACATGTAGTTATGTGGTAGTATGTCTCACCAAGAAAGTGTAAATAGCTACCAAACATTAGCCAACCCTTATTACATCAAACAAGCATAGTGCCGTTACTGCCCTATGGCTAAGGATGTGAACCGAATTGGGGTTTAAAATTACAAAAATGCTTATTCTATTTATACCCCATATTGTACTCTAAGGGTTTACCCTAACGCCAAATATAAGCGTAACACAGGCATGATGTTAGTGTCGTACTTGCATTTCGTGTCCAGACAAATTTTAAAGTGAAATTTGCTCTAAAACATATATCATTTATCAATGTAGTACTTAAACTTTTTTATTTTCTAAATGGTACTTGAATAATGTCTAGTCGTGGGAATAATGTCTAGTGATGGTGAATATTTAGTTTGAACGATGTCCAATGACACTGAATATTTACTTGAACAATGACCAATGGGCAATGACCAGTTATACTATATTGGAAAAGTCATTATATTTTAATGTGGCGTAAATTCTCCATTTTTAAAATTTAGGGGGGTGTATTCAATCAGGATTCTGATGGATTTTTTTGGATTTTGAAAATCTGTAGGTATTCAATTTAGATTTTAAAAAGTCATTTAAAATCTGAATGTATTCAATTGAGATTTTAAAAAGTCCTTCTAAATATGATAGTATTCAAAAAGTTGATAGATTTTTAAAGATTTTTAAAAATGTAGATTTTGATGGATTTTAAGCATTGGGTATAAATATAAATCCATTCCCAAATCTCACCCAAAGATTTTATAAACTCCTTCCGTCTACTTCTTCTTCCGACGTTTCTTCTTCTTCGGCTTCATCGGACTTCTTCTTCTTCTTCACCCGTCTTCTTCATCTCTCCTCTGGTCGGCTGAAATTGAGAAACTCTATCATTGAACACTTCGCAGGCGGAAATCTCTCACGTCGCTGCTCTGTTTCGGTGGAGTTGCTGCTGAATGGATGAAATTAGGGATGTGTCGTTTGTGTTCCGTTTCTCTCGTTTCTCGCAGATTATTTGTGTGTGTTGTGTGTTAATTCCCTACAACACCCCCCTTAAATTTGTCTATAAATAGGCCATAATCTCCATTCAATCTTCATATATACTCAACCCACATCCATCATTTACAAGCTAAGACAAATTCCCCTAATACTCCAATGGCAATTCTCAGGTCTCCCCTATTCTCCATCTTTCTTCTACTCCTCACATTCTCCTTTTCCGGCACCCAAACGAGTCACGCAATTCGCGTGCTCCAACAAACCCCCGCAAATTCGGGAGAGACGTTGCAGACAGCGCTTCCTTTGCCGCCTCCGTTGCAACACGCCGCCGCAAATTTGCTCGGAGAAACACTGCCGTCGTCACTGCCTCCGCCGCTCGGAGAAACGCTTCCGTTGCAACCGCCGGATTTGCCTTTCGTTCCACCTTCGAACTCTCTCCCATCACAGCCAAACATCCCTTCCATCACTCCGGCAATTTCTACCCTTTTACCACCTCCAACAAATTAATTAAACTAAATTAATTAAACTTGTCTTGATGTAGTAATGGAGTATAGTCATGGAATGTTACTCCCTCCCTTCCACAAAACCCTTCCTCTTTCGATTTTTTTGCTTTCCACAAAACACTTCCACTTTCCATTAAAAAACCACTTTTACCCCTACTTTTTTGTACCCTACCTATCACATCATACTTTTTCACTAATAACCAAACTATCACATCTTACTTTTTCCCATCACATCAGGGGCAAAATTGGAAAGTCAACCAAAATTTTACTTTCCTTATTTTTCCCCAAAGTCAAAACCGGAAGGGTTTTGTGGAACGGAGGGAGTATTATATTGTACTACCAATAATATGCATGCATGGTTCGTTCTATATATACGGAGGATATGTTATGGATGAAACCATGTAGTACTAATGAGTACTTTTTTTTTTTTTTTGAAATAAAGGTTCTCATTTGTTAAGGCTTTTCCTTTGAGTTTTTTTTTTGAAAAATAGTATTGCGTCTGAAATAAAATAGTAATCCCTCCGTTCCATATAAATGTTATTGTTGCAAAAAGGTTAAATAATCTCATTACGGGTTATGAAACTTGACTGACTTTATTTTCAATTCAATATATTTGATTAGAGATGTACGTAAAATTTACAAATAAAATTTATATTGTAAAAATTACTCCCTCCGTCCCGGAAACATGGGAGTTTTGATTTTGAAGAGGGATTTAAAGAGAGTGTATTTTGGTATTGAATTTCCAAAAATGTCTTTTGATGTAATGGGTAAAAGTATGATTTGATGGATAGATTATTAGTAAAAAGAGATGATGTGATAGGTAGGGTATGAAAAAGTAAGGGGTAAAAGTGAATTTTTAATAGAAATGAGAAGTGTTTTTTTGGGACGAATGAAAAAAGAAAGGAGAAAGGTTTTAAGGGACGGAGGAAGTGCATGAAAAGTTCTAATTAGTACGGAGTGCAAAACAAGAAGTGCCAGAAAAAATATTACTTTATGAAATGAGTACCAAAAATGAGTAAAGAAAGTGAGTTAAGTTTGGTTACGTGTAAATAGTATCTGGGAACATCTATGAGGGACGAAGGGAGTAGATCAAATAAAATTGAGAAGTTTTAATGTTACGCTAGTCCCCGTGACACCAGTTCAATTGAGGTGCTTACAATGGTTTGATCGTAAAATTGATTGTTCCTACTCCACATAACCACCTCTAAACATTCTTCCCACGTTTTCCAGTTGTCCCAAACCCTGCCCCCTAGCCCCCACCCGGATTGCTAATTTGGGGCAATTTATTAAGAAATATACCTATATGAATTGAAATTTAACTAAAATACAAAAATAGGAGTAACCTAATCTAATATCTTACACAAAAGTGTAATGACAATATGTTGTAAGTGTAATGAATGTAGTTTGTGCCATTCACTTCAATAAGTGTAAGATGAGAAGAAGCCTTCTTATCTTATTTTGGGATGCTTGTATTCGAACAATGACCTATCTCATCAATTGCTCACTCACGTACGCGGCTACGGTGTGACCCCATATGAAAAGTTGGTTGGGAACTATCTTTCCCTAACTTAATTGTTTCAAATCCTACGTTAATTGAGAAGAAGCACAAAAGTTTTGTACACCTTGAATCCACCATAGAAGCATTTATATTAGCTAGAAACGAATTGTTTGTTGACTCAAATTGCAATTATTTATTACGAGTATTGTATTCTATTTATAGACATTATATGATCAATATGAATATGTATGAGTTAAACTAGGGCTGAAAATTGATTATCAAAAATTCGATTACCGTCCGCATCCGTATCCGTTTATACGAAAAATATCTGCATCCGTTAAAAGTGATTATTATCCGTATCCGATTAATAATATCCGTTTGGTAAACGGATACAGATTTGGTAATCATACATCCAATTCATTTATAATCCGCTCCGCATTGACATCGGTTTAAGTAATGATTTAATTATCTGTGTATCTGATCCTCTATGTATAATTTTTCCTAATTTTTTTATTTTTATATTTTGTTTCTCTATTGATAAAGCAAAGTATAAGACATTTTTATATGCAAAATATATGTGTAGACACATAAAAATACGTGCAAACATATAAAAATATGTGTGTTTTTGTACCGTGCATATCTTTTTATAATATGAAGGTGTTGTAGGAATATCATAAATTTTAAAAAATAAGAAAATAATTATCCAATAATAAATTACAGTTGATTTGATAATATTTTGACCTTAATTTAGTTTAAAATTAAAATATTGTTTAATTTGATTTTAAAAATTGGAAACGGATACGGATATATCCGGTATCCGACTGATACCCGACGGATGCAGATACCATTTTTATTTTTAGTATCCGTCAAGATCCATATCGGAATTCGATATCCGATAGAAATAAACAGATACGAATTTCGTAATGACACATTCGATCAGACTAATATCCGTTTATACCCCTTGGTTGAACCATTTATACGTGTGAGAAAATAGAACAAAAACTGTGGACTTTCCAAAATTAAATTTGAAGGGTACACAAATGCGAACGAAAGTCAATATATATGAATCATAACTGGAACTATTAAATTTCTATATGTATTTTTTTCAATTAATAATTAAATTTAATATCTGAAGTGTATAGCTATTGACTCTTGAGATCGAAAATTTAATTGAAAACATGCAAATTCTATCTACTAAAAAATTTCTATATTACTCCGATCCTAGTTTGAACTTTGATGTTCATAACTTAATGGAATAGCAAGTACCTTGAAATAATTGCTAATTTAATAAAATTATTTTTGTATCAATATTTAATACGGAGTATCAATTTTATTTAATTTATGATCAAAATTTGTCAATTTTAATTAAAGAAAATGAAAACTGAATAAACACTTTATAATGATGAAATAGTATTTCGTTTTCCTAAAGTTATAGAAAATCATTTTTGTTTGAAATGTCAATTATATCATGTCCATCTAATCATTTTTTTCTCATGCTATGCAATTCACTCTTTATCTAACAAAAGAAGGTTAAATCACACCGGTAACGTCCGTGTTTAAGAAAATAAGCACCAATACTTCTCTATTTACAAAACTTGTTCTTAAAATTCTTGTGTTTTCCTAAATCTGCGACGGAATATGGCCATCGCAGATTCGGCAGATTCCTATAGTGTTCTGATCATTTTCCGGTCATTTTTCTGATGAAAAATGCGGCAATGGTGCCTATTTTCCAAACCATAGGGAGTACTCGTGCTCTTTTCTTAATTTTTGTTTATTTTTTGTTTTTCTCTTTTTCTTCTTTAATGTTTCTTTTATTAATCAAGTTTTTCTAATTTTTTTATTTACAAAACTTCGAGCGTTCTTCAAGCTCCAAGAGAAAAAGGCGGTAAAGAGAGAAGAAAAACTTTGAGCGTTTCCGGGCTCCAAGAAAGGAGAGACGAGAGATTAAAAGAATTCTTGATTATTGATTGATTAATAATAACGAAAGATTACAATATATAAAGACGCTGAAAAACCCTAATTGACCTAATGGGCTCAGGCCCATACCAAAACCTTAAACCATCAATAAATAATAATAATAATAAATAACTACTAAATAATAATATAACTAATTAAAATATTATAATTAAATATCCGTATCATTCCCACCCCCTTAAAAACCACCTTGTCCTCAAGGTGGAGGCTCCCACTCATGCTTCTGGACAAAAGGGAAATGGTTGAGCCAAAGAAGATCTCCCCCTGGCGACCCATCATTACAAATCTCAACAGTTGAAGCGGAGCAGAGGATAGTTGAGGCAAAACCAAACAGGTAGCGGACTACTCGCAAGGGAGCTAGATAATCAAACTTTTCAATATCATCAAGGTCAAACAACTTGAAGGTATCCAATGAAATTGAGTTGTCAACTTTGAGAAACTCTTCATCTTTACTTTGTCCTCACATCTTGAAACTTTATACTCTGAAATGACCACATCAAGCGAGGTATCAATATCCTGAAAAGTAGGATCTGGCTTGTAGTTCTTAGCAACATCTGCATGCTTATGATCATCATCAATTACTTCCACAGTGTTGGGCTTCCCGTTATCTTCATTCATGGCTTCAAATACACTGCTCACCTCATCTTCACCACGTGGTCTAGTGCAGAGTTTCGTTGCTCCAAGTGCATCCTCCATAGTCGGGGTAGGTAGTGTGGTGGTGTCTTCCACCTTGTGAACAAATTTGTCTATAACATTCTTTGGTGTCTTCTCAAAACAAATATAATCCAAATCATGTAGCGGAGCAAATCGAATCTTGAACTTTTCAACAAAATCCGTCCAACCATCAATTAAGCCACCACGCATACGCCAATTAAACCAAGCCAATGCATAGCCCTCTAACATTGATGCCACACGGTTCAAACGATCAACTAAAGGGACGTCATAAAACTGGAAATACTCACATACCATAGCTAACCACTGCACGGGTTTGGTTCCGTCACATCTTGGGGGTAACGTTGGTGGAGAAGGTGCACCTGTTACTTTCCGTATAATACCCATTATGTGCGCTCTGAAAATTTGCAACTCAAAAGGAATTTGAATTGGCACAATTAGAGGTCCACGAACCAAATCTTGTACCGAGCAAAAAATTTCTACGTGGAGTGCATCATAATCAATTTGACCTTGAAAATTATGGATTGACCTGAGCTTCATAATAATTCATACACGTGATCAAAAATCAAACACACCCCTTCGTCATACGCAATTTCTCTATAAAGAACCTTCTCTAGCAAACCAAGAAGTCTGTCCATCGCATAGTCCATTATCAAAATTAACACCACCACACAAAAATATCACAAAAATACTCCAAAATTATCCAAATTGCCTGAACAAACTGGAGCAAATATTGGATCCACAATTGTGTCTGGCGATTAGTGATGAAATTTTGACAACCAAATTAGTGGGGAGAAACAATATTCAAAAATCTGAGTGGAGATCTTTTTCACTTGAAGGAAAATTCCCTTTTATGCCTAAATTAGTGGGCCGCACCAAACCATCAAAAAGGGCTCCAATAGTATCTCAATTTACTGTGCGCCGCTCCAAAATTGCAGCAAAGTCTCCTTTTTTTCCGATCGGGTTGTGCAAATCAAAGCACACAAAGCCACGCAAGTCGAACTGAATATCGACGGTGAAACTGCACTGACGGCGGCGAAGGAGCTGTAGCAGCGGCACAATTGGTAGTTTCTCCTATTGTTCCGGTCAGCCGTCAAATCTGGGCAATCTTGCGAATTTGAAGTGATCTTGTAGTAGATCTCGATTGTGCACTGTCAATTGATAATGATGCACGATCAATACTCCTTCAATTGATGTTTATTGGCGGAGAAACCAAATTGTACCAGATTTGCAATCAATTTTTCTTTTTCTTTTTTTGGTTTTTTTGTTTGGGTGTTCAAATCAATGAGAGCACCAATTGATACGAATAACGTATCGGATAGGGAAGAACTTCGAGCGTTCTTCAAGCTCCAAGAGAAAAAGGCGGTAAAGAGAGAAGGAAAACTTTGAGCGTTTCCGGGCTCCAAGAAAAGAGAGACGAGAGATTAAAAGAATTCTTGATTATTGATTGATTAATAATAACGAAAGATTACAATATATAAAGATGCTGAAAAACCCTAATTGACCTAATGGGCTCAGGCCCATACCAAAACCTTAAACCATCAATAAATAATAATAATAATAATAAATAACTACTAAATAATAACATAACTAATTAAAATATTATAATTAACCATCCGTATCATGCGCGGCCAATGAAGGGGGGACCAGACAGGGGCCGAAGATTGTGGTGAGGGATGGGGGTGAGGGATGGCCGCGAAGGGAGGCTGCCGGAGACGGGGGCTGATGGGGTCTAGCGGCAGGCAAGCCGACAATGGGGTTGCCGAAATTGGCAAAAATGACTAAAAGTCAAAACGTAAACTTCTTTTCCGGACGGAGGAAGTAATATTCTTAAAATTTAAAATTTGTTTTTGATTGAAAAAAATTAACATACGAGTATATTTCATCTGTACTTCTCAAATTAACATTTTTTATTTTTTCCAAATTTTTATTTTTTTTAATTCTTAATTTTCTTTTTGAGCTTACCAAAAAAATATTGTAGAAACAAAAAGTGAAAATACTTAATTGGAGATAGATCGATTATATGTTATTTATTTTTATTTCTATTTCAAACACAAAGAATTTTAGATTTTTAAAACATTACAAAGATTGAAAAGGAATTTAAAAATTTTTCTAAGGGAAACAAATAGGTAAAAGTAAAAAATGAAAAAAAACCAAATAATAAAAAAAAGAAATGAGCACGCGAGCCCCTATGATTTAGAAAATAGGCACAAATACCCTTCTTTGCCGGAAAATTACCAGAAAATGACCAGAAGGGGTGTGAGTGCAACGTTTTGAAACCAAATGAACTTTAGAATTATGTTTTAAAAATAGATGGAATATTAATGCCAATTTTTCAAACCATACGGGGCAGCGAAGTTATTTAGGAAAAGTTGAAGAAACCTACCAGAGAAGTGTCATCACAAATTAGTTCTAAATATCAATATTTTTGAAAAAAAAAGAGAGAGAAAGTGGACAACACTTTGAATATAGACCTAAGATTACAATCACAAATGTAGAAAAAAATAAGCCATAGAGTTAAAGGTTGGGATATGATTTGAAGTTGAAAAAAAGTATTGGCTAGTATCCAATTAATGTCAACCCAAGCAAATTCCAATCTTTAATTTGTCAATATATAAAGGCTTTTAGGACTTTAGGGAGTATCACTCTTCACACTTCACTCTTCATTATTCCAAGGCCATCAAAGTGACAATTACCTATATATCCAAATGGCTATTATTCCCAAGTCTCCCCTATTTTCCATCTTTTTATCCCTCACATTATTGTCCTTTTCCGGCATCCAAATGAGCGGAGCTATTCGTGTGCTCCTACAAATCCCCGGCGCCCCCACACTCTCGGCGGCGGTTCTCCCCGCGACAACGATCATCCCGTCCCTGATACCGCCACAACTTCCGGCATTTCCGACCGCTTTGCCGTCACCGTCGCCGCCGCACGCCTCATCAACTTTGCCTTTTGTTCCGCCTTCGGACTCTCTCCCTTCACAGCCAAACACCACTCCCTCCATCATCCCAGCAATTTCTACATACCCTTTTACCCCCTCCAACAAACTAAATTAACCAAGTAATTGAACTAATTCTCTTGATCGATGATGAGTTAGTTTAATTAACTTGGCATCTAGTAGTTAATTAATGCTATTGTACACCCTCCGCTTCATAAAACACTTCCGTAGTTCCGTCCTAATTTTTCGCACATTTTATAAAACACTTCTGTTCTACCCAAAACGTCTAAAATATTTTCAAAACAACTTCTACCCGCAATAAACTACGAAATTGAAATGTATTTTAGATATTTTAAGTGAGGTAGAAGTGTTTTGAGGAATGCGTAAAAAATTAAAGCGGAACTGTTTTGTAAAAGGAAGGGATACTACAATGCCAATAATGTGCGTGGTTCATTCTATATATGTTATGGATGAAGTCATGAAACCGTGTAGTACGTACTAATAATGAGTTATATCTTTTTGTTTTGTTTGAAATAAAGGTTCTCATCATTGTTAAACGTTCCCATTTGATTTGAGCTAGTCCACAGCCAACCCTGTTACATCTTTTTATGGAGTTAAATGCATAAAAAAACATAAATTAAGAACGACACCAGATATCTTTACACAGTGTCACAAAAAAATCTTTTAATGTACGGGGCTCATCATATCCATTATATACAATTTTGGTTCAAGAGAAAATGATTCATATATATGAAAGACATGGGAATGCAAAATGATGCTATTAAAAAGGAAAAACTTTTTGGATAAAAAATAGAAAATGCTGTGGTATTTTTGTATACAAATCGTACTTCTCCAAGGCTTTGTTTGGGAACAGTGTTTTCGATTAGCGTTAGCGTTTTGGATAAAATTTTAATGGTGTAAATTAATTCTAAAAACGCTAACTCTAAAGTCTACCGTCGGATAGCCTTTTTAGAACGCTAACGCTGATGCCAAACGGGGACCAAGTCTCCAAATAAAAGCAGAATGTAAAACAAGTACGAATGTGCATCACGATGGACCGAAAATGCATTTTTCACATTTCAATCGGTAAGAATCATCCTCACATAAACCCTAATTATACATTGAGATTTTGAGAATAAATAATATCATATTCCTTTTGTTTGTTGTGAAAAAGTAAAATCTTAATTGAAGAATTGTATTTTCCTTGGATTAATTATGTGAGGAGTACATGTATATATATACAACATCTCAATCCTAGTTATGGTAGGAGAGGTATTCTAGGAAAGCTATACAAGTATGGAAACAAATCATAATACAATAATATTAAATATATTTAATATATTTAACATGCTCCCGGCTACGTCGGATGTGCTGGGGTCGGATACCCAGGCTTTCTCTGAAGTCCAGAAATAAAAGAGAGGACAGTCCTTTTGTGAAGATGTCGGCGAACTGAGAGGATGAAGGAACATGGAGGACTTTGATCTGCCCAAGGGCCACTTTATCGTGTACAAAGTGTATATCAACCTCGACGTGCTTGGTGCGTTGATGTTGCACCGGATTTGATGATAGGTAGACAGCACTAACGTTGTCACAGAAGACGAGTGAGGCGCGACGAAGTGGGTGTTGCAGCTCAAGAAGTAGATTCCGGATCCAGCAGGTCTCTGCAACTGCATTGGCAACAGCCCGATATTCTGCCTCGGCACTAGAACGAGAGGTGGTGGCCTGGCGTTTGGAAGACCAGGAAACGAGGTTGTCGCCCAGAAAAACACAATAACCTGATGTGGAGCGTCTGGTGTCAGGGCAGCCAGCCCAATCAGCATCGGAGTAAGCCTGTAAATAATCGGTGGCGGATCGTGTCAGATGGATCCCGTGAGTGGCAGTGCCACTGAGATAGCGAAGAACTCGCTTCATGGCAGTAAGATGTGCATCGCGTGGTGCATGGAGGTGTAGGCAGAGCTGCTGAACTGCATATGTGATATCAGGACGAGTGAAGGTGAGATACTGCAGTGCACCGACAATGGACCTGTAAAAGGACAGATCGGGTAGCGCTGAGCCGGCTGTGCTAGATAGTTTTGCCTTCGTATCCACCGGGGTAGAGATGGGGCGGCAAGAGACCATCC